ATAATCGTTGCCGCCAGCAGTTAATAATATAATCTTGTTACTGTACCAGATGAAGAGATTGAAATATATCTTGAGATAGATAATAAAATAATGGTGGGAAGAGAAGTAATTAGAATTTCCAATATTATATTGAATATTTGGGTTAATTCAATACAAAACGGGGTTTCAATAATTAATAATTATAATGATAGTGGCGATGAAGCGGATATTAAAACATGATTGCAAAACTCCTTCAAAAAAAAAGTCATCTTATATTTTTTTAATAACTTATATTTGATCATTTGTTTGCATATGTAAAGATTTACTACTTTTGTCAGGGGGTTTAATCGAGAAACCACCTTTATTCAGTACTTTAGTTACGTCAATGACTAAAGTCAAAAGTTTTGTCATTAAAGTAAAACGTTGACTAAAGTGAGGGACGTCGACTAAATAAAAATCCTTTGACTAATTATGTATGTGATGTATGACGATATTTTTTACTTTAGTCGTCGAACGTGACTAAAATATTGACTATAAAGGTGGTTTCTCTCCAAGAGCCATTTTGTCGATTTAAAAGCTCTCGACGAAGCAGTAAAATTAAACCTTGTTTTTTTTATCACGTTCAGGCAAATTAAAACATTTAATTTGAGACCTAGTTACTATGAGTACAAGCAAAACAATTCTGTATTCCTATAATGAATTTATTATTATGTATGAGCCATATTGAAACTAGTGTTGGTTTCCAAAGCTATAGAGTTTCGCAACTGTGCGAAAGTCAAAACTGGTTTTGACTTTTGACTTTTGATTTAGTTTTGACATATAACTTTTAACTTTAGTTTGACTTTCGCCTCTTCAAAATGATTTTGACAACAAACACTAGTTGCCATAAGACCGGATAAAGTGAATGTTAGGTTGCAGGACCTATTGCCATTACAATTACAATAATAAAACACATCATTATATTTTGAAAAAAAAAATCATTGTTACATGAAATTTGATAAAATTTTAATATTTTCCTAATATTAAATATCTAACTGATAGGTTAGAGTCGCAGCTTTGACTATTGACGATCTGCACTGTATTTG